GTTTGTCACAGAAAAACGTCAGAAGCCACTTGAATGCTCGGTTCCATGAGACCCAATAGGATGGATGAAGAAGGGTTCCCGTGATAAAGAGCCACAGAGCTAGAAGGGGCAGATAGTGCTTCCGGTGTATAGCAAGTGCAGAGAAAACCGAGTACTAGAGAGCAGATGGAGCACACTGATTTTATATAAGTAAAAGACATACAGGAAAAATAAACTAAAACTCAAAATGTCACTATGAAATCTATCTTTTTGTACAATTAATATAAACTAGCTAAAGAACAAAACCTCAGAGGACTAAAGCAAACACTAGTAAAAGTGGGTGCATGTGGGGATTGGTAGGAGCCCAGATAGGAGAAAGAATGAGGCTGGAGGAAAATTGGTGAGTACACCTTTAAGTCTACACAAAATACAGCATAAAACTTCCCACATTTGAAATCATTCTCTTATGGACTTACAAAAGGATTCATTTTATTTTTCTTTTAAAAGATTCATTTTACTATTAGTTTAGGTTCAGAATACATGTGTAAGTCTGTGTGCAGACATCAGCATGTCCATGGAGGCCAGAGGTGTAGGATTCCCTAACCCTGGGATCTGCAGTTATAGGCAGTTGTGAGCCACTCAACAGGGGTGCTGGGAATTGAAATCAGGTCCTTAACAAGAATCATGAACACTCTTAAGTGCTGAGTCAATCCCCATATTCTAAGTTATTTAGCATGAAAAAGGTGTTTAAAAAAAGAAAAAAAGGAAAATTATAAAACTAAATGGAAATGAAAGAAATAAAGAACCTAATTGTTTATGAAATTGATGATTGAACCACACAGGAGAGAACTCGTAATTAGGGACTCTGGTATCCTGACTCTGCACAAAAGTAAGGAGTGCTGAGTGTTCTCAGAAGGTGTTGTCCTGGGAATGATCCTGGAGTAGCAATTCTGAAAACATTTAGGGAAATTACAGATAAAGTGGAGGATTAAATATGTCGATGCTGGAAGCATTGGGGAGGGAAGATGTCAAATACAGAATGAGAAGGTGAGGGAGAGCGCCATGAAACTGGATTTGAACTAGAGGAAGTTTCTTTGCAAAACCATGAAATTCAAAGTCCCACCCTACTACTTCCTGGGCATCTCTCTATCCATCTCCCTGACTCCCTCTGACTCTCTATGGTTGCCTCCTGTCAACTATTTGCTTGCTCCGATTCCACTTGCTAGCTATAAAGAGCAGAGCATCTGTGAACGTTGGGTAACTTTTGAGTTATTCTACTCTCGGGAAGAAAGTTGCTAAGGCCAACTCACACGCAAGGAAGAAGAACACAAAGGGTTTAGATTCCACTATCAGGGCTGCTGAAGGCATCATCCATTGCGGAATAGACTGGCATTATGTGCCTGATACAATGGAACTAGAAAGTATACACCCTTATCCTGTAGTATTGTCAGGAGTGAGAGGAAGAAAGAGACAGAGATATGTAGAATATGGGCATTCTATAAGATGACTAGTTTGGACTCTAAAAATGCCAGCATACTGGAAAAGAAATCAAGCTGCTCTAAGCTATGGAAGATTAAATTTCTGGCCAGCACTGGGAAGCAAAGGCAAGCAGATCTCTGAGTTCAAGGCCAGCCTGGTCTATATAGCAAGCTCTAGGCCAAAGCTACATAGAGAGACCCTGTCAAAAAAAAAAAACCAAGAAAGAGAAATACAAAATTTCTCATTATAATGGGAAGCCAGGGAAACCTATGTCAAAAGCCACACTACATATAACCACCAAGTAATTTGAACACAGATCACCTATCAAACTATGTATGCTGTGTGGAACTCATTGGGTGTGGCAGTGGTTCCGTGGCTAGGAAAGAGAATTCCTTTCTTAAAAAAAGAATTTAGGAGTCAAGTGTTAGGAACCACCAGGCACGGTGGCACATGCCTTTAATTCCAGAGGCAGAGTCAGAAGGATCTCTGTGAGTTCAAGGCTAACCTTGTTTACATAGTGAGTTCCAGGACAGCCAGGGCTAAGTAGAGAGGCCCTGACTCAAAACAAGACAAAAGTGTTAGGAACCACAAAAATACAAATCCCAAGAAGTTGGTGCTTGTAAATTGGGGAAAATAGAACCTAAACTGTGGTTCAGAATAGGCATAAGCATCTTAGATATTCATTGTGCTATGAATTTTCCCAGCCTTCAAAGTTTTCCAACTGAAAGGTGGAGGCAGAAGGTGTGGATGACTGTCAGGAATGCATCCCAGCCTCCTTGGCAGGTGCTGGGCCATCCTCAAGACTAGGGGACCTCACAGCCTTCCAGTAGTTCCCAGTATACATGTTAACAATGGCCAGAGACATCCCTCACCTCACCAGGTAAAGTTTAAAATGTGTGTTCTTAGACCATGTGTGCTGCTACAGCAGAATTCCCGAGACTGGACAATGTATCACGAGCAGAAATACATTGACTACAGCTCTGGGGACTGGAAAGATGAAGTTCAAGATACCAGCATCTGTTGAGGGCCGGCTTGCTCTAATGATACAGAAGAGCAAGAGGCAAGACGGGCTAACAGATGGCTACCATCTATGAGGGCGGAGCTGCATTTCAACATTAGTTTTGGAGGAGACACTCAAGCCAGTTGGGCCTGGTGGTGCATGCCTGTAACCCTGGCACTAAGGAGGCTGAGGCAGGAGGACCATGAGTTTGGGACGAGCATGGGCTACATAGCAAATTCCCAGTCAGTGTGTGCTACATAGTGAGACTTTGTATGGAGAAAATAACTCAATGATCAGACCATACACAGGTGACCTGGAGAGTCAGCCAACGCTGTCCCTTCCTGGCTGTGTCAGGTTGCGGAACTTCTCTGACCCGCAGTTTTGTCGTTTATTAAAGTGGGAGTGACGGTGCCCACTCTACAGGACTGTGATAACGTTCTAAATGAATCCTTTCTCCCAGGCCACTTCCCACACTTCCAGTTCATCCACTCTTCAAACATTATTGTTGTGCATGCTGGGGACAAAGATGCATGTATGAATCACATCACTTCAGGGAACTCAGACGAAATTGGGGAGCCCTGTGGTCAGTCCATAACGGGGTGCGGACTTACCCTGCCAGGTTTCATGGAGGCTGTGGAGCTGGGCTGTCTGGTGCTTTTGAGAAAAGATTGTTCTCCTTCTGCAAGGACGCTCCATGGTAAAGGTATTGGGTAGTTTAGGAGTCCAGCAGGTGGCTAAACCTCCTTGGAAAAGAACTTGGCATGTGGGCAGTGCCATGTTCAGGAAATAGGTCACACATGAGCAGTATCAGGCCTGGCTGGGTGATGGTGCCTTTAAAGAAACATTCCAGGGCTGGAGAGATGGCTCAGTGGTTAAGAGCATTGCCTGCTCTTCCAAAGGTCCTGAGTTCAATTCCCGGCAACCACATGGTGGTTCACAACCATCTGAAATGAGGTCTGGTGCCCTCTTCTGGCACGCGGGCACACATAGAGGCAGAATGTTGTATACATAATAAAAATAAATATATAAATCTTTAAAAAGAGAAACATTTCCAGAGGCCCTTTACCCCAATACAGTAAACTGTGATGTTTGATTTAGCTAACCAGAGGGAAACGTGGGGTCTTAACCTTCTCCCTCCAGGAAGGGGAAGAGAAAGTCCCAATGGGAACCAGGCCTGAAGTGCCTGCCACCTGTCGCTACATGCTATTCAGTCTCTGTTCCCCAAGCACCTAAAGCCCCAACGACAACTAAGGCTGCTTTACTTTAAGTTCTTTTTGGATATATGTAGTTCTGTGGAGCATGGTGGGGCAATCCAACACCGGGCACGGCGCAGCGCAGCAAACCGGGAGGCTCAGCTGGTTTGTTGGCTCTGTTTTCTGAGGTCCTGGGGATGGCACCAGGGCCTTGTGCATGTCATGTTGGCCCTTACGCTGAGCGACATTCTCAGCACCCTGCCAGCTGGAGAGAAACCCTGGGATCGGCTCCTCTCTCTGGCGAGCTTACCCAGCCTCCTTCTATCCTAATACCTACACATTACTGCTTAATGATAACACGTTTCGATTATATATTCACTTTCTTTTCAACTCAAGCATAAATTACATTTGATGAGATTTTTAAAGTTTATTTTTATTATTTTAAATTGTGTGTGCGTGAGTGTGAGTGTATGTAACTGGAGCTACATACAGGTGGTTGTGAGTTACCCCATGTGGGTGTTGGGACTGGAATTCAGGTCAGGAAGAGCAGGAGGCATTCTTGACGCTGAACCAGTCTCTTATTGGTTACATTTTTTTTAAAGGCAAAAGTGAGAGAACTCCAAGCATCCAGGTCCTATACCAAACTAAGAGTGTCTTCCTAAGATCTATTTCCTGCTGTTCTGATCCACCATGTTTCCTCTGTCTTCTCTCCGTTTCTAGAAAACAAGAAAGAGAAGAAGAGAACATCGTGGTGGCATTGAGCAGGTCAGAAGAGCATCAGACCGGTGCAGGGTGGATAGTTGGTGTTTCCTCAGGGAACTGGCCCGGATCTGGTAACTGGCCTCTTGGATCAGGGGAGCCTTAGTCAGGGGAGTGCACTCTCAAGGAGGCCTTTTGCCTCTTTCCGAATCATTTTTCTAAAACAAAAAGTATGCACAAATAAGTATTTCCATCTTTATTTCAAATTCTAGGTTTCAAAGGAAATGTTAGTGTTACTCCGCAGTGCTGCAATAATATATTATTATTTCTCTTTTACAGTTCTCTCCTTAAAGTAGCAAAGCGAATATTTAAAACAGCACAAGACCCGCAGTCCCACAATTCCCCATTCAGGTTCAGGGTCTGTACTCTCCTTTCAGAATTGCGCATAACTGAAAACAATGCAAACCCCCGATGTGCTAAATGCCGCAGTCATTAAAGCATTTAAAAAAAAATTGGGGGGGGGATAAAAGATCGTTCTTGTGCTTGTGGTTATTATTTATTTATTTTTAGAAACCCCAAACAGGCTTGCTTCCTGTTCCCAGACTGACATCTGCTGGGGACCACAGGCTGGCGGGCTTGGGAGGCAGGCCCGCAGCCGGCTGCCACTCAGCGCCCTGGGGTCTCCTCGGAGCCACCCGGAAGCCTGCGCGCCGCTGGGGCGGGACCCGAGTTCGGCAACTGCCCGGGGATCTAGCAACCGAGAGAAGGCTCAGAATGATCCCGTCTTGGCACAGGATCCCCAGGTGGGTGGCTCTGTCAGGGAGCTGATGGGCAGGGAAGAGTTGGACATAATTAAACGCTTGGGCAGGATGTGTGACCCCCGTGTGATCCTCGCTCAAGTGCCACTAGGCCTGTGAACCGTTTCCTGCCTTCTGCTAGATATGTCGGCTGCATCGCTCACTTTTTTTTTTTTTTTTTTTTTTTTTTTGCGTTGGTTCCTCTTTTCTGCGCATTCAGTCCTGTAAAAAAGATCCCAATTCCACTCTCTTCGTAGTTTACTATCAGGAGCCAAGCTGGCTTTGCCCTGCAGAATGAGAGTCCTTGGCCTATTTCAAGATTTATAACAGTTTATAGCAGTCTTTTCTATCACCACCACCTCCACAAGCCTGCCTCCCCAGTCTCCCCCCTCCCCTTGGGAACTAGCCTGGGAGGGTTTGCATCGCCTTCCCCACACCCACACTTCAGTGGGCTGACCCTCCTGCCCATCAGGTGAATAATCCGACCCTCCTATCTCCGACCTGTTTCCCCTCGAACGGAAAAGCTCATCTTTCTCTCTGACTGTAAGGATAAGGGGGCAGGGGTGTGGGTGTGCAAACGCGCAGGGGTGGGGTCCTGATTCCCTTGGACCTGGAGATACAGGCAGTGGGGTGTGGATGCTGAGACCTGAACTCCTCTTAACCGCAAAGGCGTCTTTCCCAGCTCCGGAGTAAAAAGGTGAATCTGAAACGTAAGGTCTGATTTGGTGCTGTGTTTTCTTTCTTTCTTTCTTTCTTTCTTTCTTTCTTTCTTTCTTTCTTTCTTTCTTTCTTTCTTTCTTTCTTTCTTTCTTCCTTCCTTCCTTCCTTCCTTCCTTCCTTCCTTCCTTCCTTTCTTCCTTCCTTCCTTCCTTCCTTCTTTTCTTTTTTCTTTTGTTTTTTTCAAGATAGGGTTTCTCCTTGTTACCCTGACTGTCTTAGAACTCTCTCTGTAGACCAGGCTGGCCTGCTTTTGCCTCCCCCCTAGTGCTGGGATTACAGGTGTGCACCACCACTGCCAGAACAGAGAGTTTCTTGTAAGAATAAATTTAACTAAAAAGAGCAAACCAGTTAAGAAAGAATAATAAACACATTGTAATATAAATGACTTTCTCTTTCATTCTTTCTTCTTTCTTTCCTTGCTTCCTTCCTTTCTCTCACTTTTTTCCATCCTTCAAAACCGAGATGGAGACTATGCATTGTCTTGGGTTCCAGTTGGAACTTGCTCAGCTGGCACTTTCCTGTGAGATAGCCCTTCACCCTCCCTCAAGGCAGACCTTCAGCTCCAGCACAACAGCTTACTCCTGCCCTTACACATTAAACTCTACCTCCTCGAAATGTTTCTTCTCTCTTCTCTCCCGGGTCCTCCTGGCCTTTCTTCCAGTCTCTGCTCAGAGCCATTCTCTCCAGGGAGTCTTGTGATCAGCTCGAAGGTCCCAAGACCTACAGTACCCAGCGCTGAGGGAAGACAGAGGTTTGAGTTTGGTTGTCCCTTAATTATATTCTGGGAGCATAATTGATGGACCCATTCACTATTCCAATCCTCACAGCAACACTGACAGGAAGGAAGTGTTAAGATCCCCACATTATGGATCGAGAAATTGAGGCTCAGGGCTAGGAAGCTCCCTTCCCCAGGCTGCAGTAGGCTGGAACAGCCAGATTGCTCCTCCCTTCCCTCTTGTTTTCCACTACAGAACAACAAGGGTTGAACACCATGTGAACATCACAGGGTTGCCAGGACAACAAGATGGCTCAGCAAGGAGCATCTTCAGAGTGCCAAGCCTTGGTGCAGGGTTCTCCAGCTAGGTGGGAGCTGATTGGTCTGCTCCATAGATGTCTCAGGCAGGAGGCCAGCAAGAGGCTGTTCTCTGCTTCTTCCCTGGACGTGTTTGCCTCTTCACTGGAGTTCTCCAGCCTGCCCGAAGCCAGGCAAGGCCTACCTGTGTTGTTTTAGACTCTGCTCGGGGTTTACAATTTGAGCCTCTTCTTTTGAGCTCTGCAGAAAGAAAGATGTGGCCAATTTATGTTCTTTCATCCAGCACTCTGCACATGGGCCAAACCAAGGGAGCTTGGCAGTCATGAAAAGAATAATAATGAAATGGATGGATGGGTGGATGGGTGGATGGACAGATGGGTGGATGGATGAAAACTAACAAGGAATAGACACATTTTTGTCCTTAGACATTTCTAACACATTTGACACGCTGAGATTGAAGAGGAGAGAAAACTAACATTTTCCAGATAACACTTCTCCAGCCAGATGTTCAGAGACTAAACAAAAAAGGGAAGAAAAAAAATAACCCTTCACACTGCTTTGCATTCTGTGCCCACATCTCTAGCCGAGTAATGTGGGAGTCATATTCAACACTTACGGTCTGCACTTGGGACTGTCAAGTCGGAAATGGAGCACTTGACAGTCATGATAAAGTTAAGACATATTAACTGGGATAGAATAAATGTGATGCTCTGATGCAGCTATTCTCAACCTGTGAGTCACGACCCCTCTGGCGGAATCAAATGACCCTTTCACAGGGGTCACCTAAGACCATGGAAAACACAGATATTTACGTGGCAATCGATAACAGTAGCAAAATTACAGTTATGAAGTAGCAACAAGAATAACTATGTTTGGGGGGGTCCCCACAACATGAGGAACTGTATTAAAGGGTCACGGCACTAGGAAAGTTGAGAAGCACTCACTGATCTAGTGGTTGTAGTGATGTAGGAGTGCCAACAGCATCGAGGAAAGAGCAGGCGGTGATTTGAAACCTTACATCTGTGCAGTTTTCCTCAATAGCTGTACATTCTGCAACCAAGGCGGCAGTGGGTAATGGGGAAAGAGAAAACCGTCTCTGCGTCGCCCATGTCTGGGATTTTCCCTTGTTTATCCCCGGCACAGTACAGTAGGCGATGCTGTATGTAGTGTCTGCCTAGCACGAGACACTAACAGTGTAGAGATGACTTCGGGCACATGTGAGGATCAGTGTAGGGTCTATGCAGATCCATGTCATATTATATGGGGGGGGGGCTGGGCACACATGGGTTTTGGGTATCCACAAGGCTCCTGGCACCTGTCCCCAGCAGACACAGAGAGACTGTATTTCAGTGATTGCCACACAGTGACATGTCACTGACACACAGTTGATCAGATTGCATTGTCTTAACATTTTCTACTCTTTAAGTTCAGCAGTTCAGGGATGATGCATTCGTTAATGCGTATAGTTTTAGAGGCAAAAATGGCTAAATGTGGTTGAGAGGACACTATTTTATCAGAGGGTATGGACCAGCCCATGAAGCTCGGGATGGCACTCTTAGGCGCTGCCATTTAAATTATAAGCTATTTATTTGTCTCCTTATTTACAATTAGCACCTGGTAATTTGCTGATCTTATGGAGTCCTTAGGATCTGTTGCCATAGTTACCACCAGTGTAAATGTTACACTATACAAAAGAAACAATTTAGAAATGGCTGGCTATTAAGCGGTGCCTCCTTAACTGGTTTGGGCGATATTTTCTTCTGGTGGAGTCCTTACATTTTGGTCCCGCTTCAAAGTTTTTGATGGGCTTTAAGATGCTTTCAGGGCCTCGTACTCTCACAGCGGGGAGCTGAATGGTTTTCAAAGGGAGCCCTGAAGAAAGTGGTACCTTCTGGAAAACAAGTGCAAAGGCTGGGGAGCAGCGCAATGGCTGGGGAGCCAGGCAATCTCATTTAAAAGGTGTTCAAGAGCCACCGAGAGAACAGCAGCATCTCCTCCCACAAGCCCTCAGGCTCTTACTGCAGGCCCAGAGGTTCCCAGCTGCTGGGCCCAGGCCTTTCGCACCCATCCTCCAGGAGGGCAGACAGAATCCACAGACGAAAGGGCCTCCCATCGCTCTCCTTTCTGTCACCGACTATAGGCTGTAGAGCTACCCTCTTGGCATCCACCTGGCCTCTTAGTAGGGCACTGAGAAGTCACTGGCAGAATTTCCAGGCTATGGCCCACAAATCCGTTACCTTGGTATGACGGGTGACAGATGTTTCCAGATGTGACCCCTCTATGCCACCTCTCCATCTCTGAACTTTCTTCCATGTAAGTAGATGAAGCTCAGTGCTACGGAAGATTTCTGCTGTGGCGGGAAACAGAACGACCCAAGTTCTCAGGAGGATTCAGGGGTCTTCGCGGCAACTTGGAAAAAGAGTTTGAGAAGAAAAAAAAAGAGAGATGAAAGACAAAGAGGAGGGGGTGAAGGGAAGAGAAGGGAGGGTCAAGAAGAGGAGGGGGTGAAGGGAAGAGGAGGGAGGGTCAAGAAGAGGAGGGGGTGAAGGGAAGAGGAGGGAGGTCAAGAAGAGGAGAGGGAAGCAGAAGTGGAGGGGCAGTGTCTAGGGGTGGCTCAACAGCGCCTCTCAGGCTGGCCAGGGGGATGGTGATATGGTCAGCAAGGCCTTAGACCAGGGTTAGAACCTAAGTGCTCTTGGGAGTTAGAGGAGATGGAGACAGGCCCAAAGAAACAGGAAGCAGCAAGGCTGGGGTCTGGGGAGGGAAATATTCCGCCCCAAAGCCAGAGGATTGCTTTGTCTTGAGTAAATCCTAAGAGACGAGTCCGGGTCTCATACTTGGCAGAATCATATGTACAGGAATTTGGGGGCATCTAAGCAGTGACTATGTGTGCCCAAAGTGAGACTACCTGGGTATCCCAGAAGTTGGGGTATCCCTGGGGTACATGAGAGAATTCCATTAAAGAAGGAACTTAAGGTACTGGGGGGGGGGGGCGCGCCAGTCTGGAAGAAAAGGACTCCAAATCAAAAATTAGTTTTTTGTAGATTTCAGTCCCTAGGCTGAGATTTACACTCGTGTCCTATGTGTGGGAAATGCTTATTTTACAAAGTCAGACAGACTTCTTTCTTGCAGGATTTCTCAGAAATTTAATATTTGAAAATATTCCATTCGGTAGATCACTGGAGTGCTGGCAGATGATTAATGACCAACTTGAGAATTAAATCCGGGCTTAAAAGCCTTGATTTATAGTGTTGCAACTTCCATGGTGGAAACCCCTCAGGCCTGTGGAGGACTTTGTCGTTCCGTGACCCCAATCCCAGCTCTGGCATCCTAACAAGCAGGGGTGATCCAGAGGGCTCCTCTCCATGAAGAGTCAATGAACTCACATGCAAAACTCTACTTTGCCCAACAGTACCTTCACTCGAGACCCTGTGCTCTCATGAAGCCAACATCAGTTTCTTGGCTCATTGCAATAGTTCCACCTAAGTGGCTTGTTTTTTCTTTTCTTTGAGAAACTCCTTCACTGCCTACAGCAGGCTGACCTCACTCTTTTATGGCCTCAGCCTCCGGAGTCGTGGATGAGCACAGGTGTGCACGGCCGTGGAGTTTGGTTCCTCTAAGTGATGACACTCATGCCAACCTGACTGGTAAAAAGAACGTGGGGAAGGCAGGGTCCCTGTGCTAAGTTGACTATGCTCTACGATGGCCTCACGTCCGTCCTGTGTGTTACTGCTCATGCCTCTGTGGAGGGCTAGGCTCCCAAGGTGGTTGGGAAAGCGATGCTGTGTGACTGCGAAGCCTGCACGAGAGACAGCATCGCCATAGCTCTGCTCGTTCTTGGGCTCTCTCAATGGAGGTCAAGATGAGCTGAGCATCAGACTGCCTGACTGACTTCCAGGACCGCGCAGCAAGAGTCTCAGTTGGCTTCTGGAAGGATGACCCCACCCTACCCCAGAAGGGAGAGCCTGCTGCTCAGTCAAGCCCATCCATGGCCACAGCACAGCCATGCTGGAGCTTCTGGCTCAGAGAATCTGCTAGATGATGTTGTTTTAAGATGCTAAATTTGGGGGGTAATTTGTTACGCCACATGATATAATTAATGCAAAACCTAATCTGTAGGAGCATTTTAACTTAAAAGGGAAGAAAAGATGAAAATGAATAAGGAGAAATATGTGAAACCAACCAGCATGTGGATAATTATGTCCTGATTGTTACAGAGTTCTAAGAAAGGGGGTGGGGGAGGAGGCTGTACAGCGGGGAAACAAGAGGCTTATTTACGAAGCTTTCCAGAGGTTATTTTAGAAGGAAAAGGAGACCGAAGAAAGGCAAGACCCTTTGTAGGGTACTCTCCTTTGAGCAGAAACCAAACCTTGAGTTCGTCTCAATGGTCTTTGCAATTTTGGGTCTTTTTGTTTTGTTTTTTTCTTTTTGTTTTTCAAGACAGGGTTTCTCTGGGTTGCTTTGGAGCTAGTCCTGGAATTAGCTCTTGTAGACCAGGCTGGCCTCTAATTCACAGAGATCCACCTGCCTCTGCCTCCCAAGTGCTGGGATTAAAGGTGTGCGCCACCACCACCTGGCCCAATGGTCTTTGTAAAACTGTGAAACTCATTGGAAAATCCAGAATCTATCTTGAAGCCCAACACGGTGGTGCAACATTGTAGTCCCACTGCTTGGGAATCGGACAAGGGAAGGTCACATGAGCTCAGCTGTGGGAGGTGGATGACATCCTAAGTCAATGTACTCCATGGCAAAGACGCTAACGCCTCAGATCCATGGGAATGGCAAAGCCTTCCTCTGGTTCGAGTACTAGTGTCTACAAAGATTGACCAGTGTGAGCCTCCTCCTCTGGAGGCCCTGAAGACTGCAACCCGAGACTACTCCCTGCAGAGACCTCACACGGAGTCTGACTCCTCCTTCTTGTGCTGTACACACCAATTCACCCCACCCACCCACTGTGCTTCTGGGTTGTGTAGCTGGTGTCCCCCTTCAGAACACAGAGCACAGCCCAGTTGATCCCAGCTCGCCTGCGTGTGTGCCTGCTGTCATTTCTTCATTCCTAAATCATCAGTCAGGTTTCAGAACTGTGCTGTACAGGACCTGGCACTCAGAAGTTTGAGGGAGGCCTGGACAACGCCGTGTGAGCCTGTGTTACAAAATAAAAGGTAAACAGAAAAGGAATGGGAAGATGAGAGCCAGGCGAACATGAGGACTTGCGTCTGAAGCTCCAGTACCCATGGAAAGTTGTGCATCAGAGTTCCCGGGGCACTTGCAGTTTGGTGAGAGGAGTGTGCACAGAAGAAACCAGCCAGTCTTGCGTATGCGACATCAAATCTCAGAACAGTGACCCTGTCTCAAACAATGTGGAATGAGAAGACTACGTTAGGGGTTATCTTCATAGCTCTACAGGTGAGCTATAGCAGGGCCTGTGGGTCCCCACATTGACTCACACATCATACACACACACACACATCATACATACACACATCATACACACACACATCATACATAAACACACATACACACATCATACACACACACCATACACACACATCATACATACGTCATACACACATCATACATACACACTCACATCATACATACATCATACATACACACTCATATCATACACTCACAGCATACACAAACACATCATACATACACACTCATATCATACACTCACAGCATACACAAACACATCATACATAAACACACATACACACATCACACACACACACCAGACACACACATCATACATACGTCATACACACATCATACATACACACTCAAATCATACATACATCATACATACACACTCATATCATACACTCACAGCATACACAAACACATCATACATAAACACACATACACACATCACACACACACACCATACACACACATCATACATACGTCATACACACATCATACATACAC